GAGATTATATTTATTAAGTTATATTTTTTCATCTTTGTAGATCCTATATCGACTGGAAATTTTTCATTATTTGAAACTACGCCAAATAATCAAAATAGTTCATTAATCCAAGATTTAAGTATATCACAATGTTCAACTGAAATAATTTTTGGAGTGACTTCTAAATCTCAAATGATTATGTGGGACAGTAGAGAAGCCTTTGTCAATATTGTAAGAACAGATCAGAGCGCTAATAAACGATAATTAACTGATTTAGTATAAAGGATTACATAATGGTTCCATTAATACAGTTAGTCTTCATCCTTCTGAAGGTATTTATTTAGCAACAGGAGGATCAGATAAACTAGTAAAAATTTGGGATTTGAGAAAGTTGAATACTAACTATAAAGGAAGCGTATATAGACAAATACTTTAATATTAGTCGATTATTAAATCGAGATAATTTAGGCAACACCACTCGATAGTATTGTTAACCACACTGGAAAAATTAATCAAGTTGTTTGGAACCCAAGAGTGATAGACACACTAGCTTCTTGTTCAGATGATGGCAAAGTTAATATTTACAAATTTAATAGATTTACAACAGTAATATGAAATCATTCTTTAATTTCAGAAAAGTAATAATTTTTTAGGAAAGTGATTTTCTTTTCGCTCATTATGGACATAGGTAAGCTGTAGCTTATATACCTAGAAATCTAAATTAATTCAATTATAACAGAAGTCCTGTTAAATGGTTAGATTGGTTAGCTCTAAATGAAGGATCTTTAACAATTGCATCTGTATCTTCAAGTCATGGAGATTATTTTCCATGCTTACAAGGTAAAAATAGCTTGGCATTTTTTAAATTACTTACATTTTGTAGTTTGGGAATCAGACCTTGGTAGTTTTGAATATTAAATAGTTAATATATTTCTATTTAGCCAGAGTTTACATTGCAGTTATATTTCACATTAGTAATCTCAACTTCATAATAAACATAATAGTATTGATTATTCATCTATTTAGCGTGTGGTTCAATAACTTTTTGCCTATATACTTTACACTATATCAGAAAAAATTAAATATTATATAGTCAATTTTCATTAAGCTTATCGCTGTTATTCATATGATAAGGAATATTTTGATTTACATCACAAGATATCTAATTTATAGTTAACGAATGTTCTAACTATAAAACACAATGGTAATTGCATATAATCAAATTAATATAATTGCTTGTATAACTAAAATAAACAATCATTCAATTTGCTTATAAAATATAAAATTGCATATTAGCCAATTAAAATTGAATTATTGTAATATTAATACTAGCTAATCAATTTAATAATGGAATATTTGTACCTAATTATAGAATATAGAATTATCTGAAGATCAATCCCATAAAAATTCAATAATAATCAATAGCAAATAAACATGGTTAAGTTTAATGGTCACTCCCTAAATAAATAATTAGCATTCAATAACATAAGACTAATTAATTTTCTTTAGCATCAAATAACAAATTATGCCACCATCTATTATTGCCCCCAAAGTCGGCATACTTTACTTATTTAAAAATGTTCCTAAATTTACAAAAATCATTAATATTACCATTGTCCTAATTCCTATAATTTATCTTATTTTGAAAAGCTTATTTAACATAGAGTTAACTATTGAGTTTACACCTATTGGGTAAATTTAAGCAGAAATTTTAGTTTAGAATCACATTTTTAATGTTTTATATAGATTTTTTAAAAGACCTTGGACTTTATTTACTTTTCCCTTCTTTCAACCTGATATACTATCGGTAAGTTTAAAATTTAATCTAAAGTTCTAAAAATTAACCAATTTTAACCTCGTTTTAGATCATCTTTTTACCTCTAATTCACTTTATTTCTTGTAAATACTTTGAACCTCAATGGACCAGCAAAGAGCTTCTTTTCTTTTGGTTTTTCATAAACGCTTCATCAGCCTTAGCCACTAGCTTTGTTTATAGTGTAGCTTATACAATTAAGCAAAAACCTGAAGATTAGTAATACTAATTTGCTTTGTTAGCTTGTATCCACTTTACTAATATTTATTATTAATAGTGAACAAATTGTAATCAAAGGTTTATTACCAACTTTAGCAGCTTTTACAGTTGCTTATAAGCAAGCTATTCCCGAATATAAAATTAAGCTATTTAAAAATTTTATAGGTTTTAAGCTTAAGGTAATTTCTATTTTAATGTGTTTTTAATATTGTATTCATAGGTTTTTTCATTTAGCAATTACCTGGTTTATTCCTTATCATTATTTTAATTAGAAGTTTAATATTAAGAAGTTTCCAATATTTAGTAATTAGTTGGTTTGGAATTTTTATTAGTTGGGTTTATTTAAGATTTTTCAAAGTTCAAGATTCTATTAGAGGGGATAGATCTGAAACATTTTCTTTTATTAGCTTTTTCCCTACTATTATGAGGTAATTTCATGATTTAGTCGCTTAGTATTCAATTTTTAACCAAAATTTCATAGACCACCTTTAAAAATCTTATCCAATAGCATTTACGCACTCTTGGTAAAGTTAAGACTTTGCAGACCTATCCATCGTATCAGTTCTTTGGATTTAGAATCCGGTCAATTCCCTTCTAGAGCAGTCTTCCCATCTTTATCATCACCTACGTCATCCACTACACCTGTTGAGTCAAGCACTCAAGATTATGACAGAAGAAGGTAATTCATATAAATTGTAAAAAACAAACCAGTTATTAATATAATAATTTTTATAGAGCAATGGCACTTAAAGCACTAGATGAAAGATTAAAAACAAGTCAATTGAGCCCAATTTTAGAATCTAAAAGTAACCCAGATGAGACCAACTAAACCTAGCTCATTTTATCCATTACAAATCTATTATTATTAAAAATAAATACATTAAATTCATTAATTTAACTCTAATTACAATTTTAACTTTTACTGATATATTATTAAATGCTAAGCTGTGTTATTTAGTTTAATTTTTTATTAATTTAATCGGTTAAGAGAAAGTATTTTTAATGTCAATTAGTTGACAAGGTAGGTGGGCCAGTGACGGCCAGGAATTTGTTCATAGTCATCTTTAGACATTTTGTATTGATAACGGGTACGAGGAATAGGGGGGAGGAAGAAAGCATTGTTTGGGATGGTGGCTTGTTTATCCAAGGCTTCGGTTAAAGTTAAACCGGATTCAGCGGAGGCGACAGATTCGCCAGCTTCGTTAGCTTTGGGGGCATCGAGACTATATGAAAAAATTAGTAAATTGAAACTATAAAATATAAATACTCTTACCTAGCTTGTTCAGGGGCGGTCAATAAGTTGGCGAGATCAGTTTGAGTGTATAAAGCAACTTGAGGGTAGTTACGACGAACATCTCTAGTGTAGTAGTAGTTGTTGCTTAACTTATCAGCGGGACCTTTTTTAGGGACATAGTCATCAGTTTCCCTAATTTTTTGTTAATAAAGGGTAATAAGCTTGAATTAAACTATTTACTTAGTGGTGGGGTTACGATAAGTACCGGCCTTGAAAGTTGACTCGGATAAGGAAGGATTCTAAATAAGAGTCAAATTAATAAACAGCTCATTTGTAAATAATTTTACCAATTTATAATAAATACAAATTGATAAGTTTATAGACTTACGATAGAGAAAATTTGTTTAATAACTCTGAATAAAGCAGCCATAGTTTTTAAGGACTAAATTAAAAAAATAGATTAGTAAATTTTGTCAATTTGCGTGTAAAAATTTAGCTAGATTTTTACACTAAATTTAATAAATTAAACAATAGAGATTGTCTGATGTATATTGTTTTTATATTTTCTTTAATTAAAAATCACATATTTGCTTTCTTATAGTATTATTTATAACCAAACTATCCAACAAAAGCTATTATTTTAATATAATTATTATATTAATTACCTATACAATATAATTTATTATTATTAATTGATTTTCAGTAATTTTATTAGATCACTATCTTAAATTTAAATATATTTAATCTTTTATCAATCTTATGATTTTTATTTATGGGATTATTATTATAAAATTTCAAAAATTAAAAATTTAATCAAAATCAATGAAATTTTGATAAGTATTTTGAAGTTATACGTTTTATTTATAAAAATATACTTTGATATATAAATTATACTAATTATTTATGTAAAAATATGGGCTATAGTTTAAAATCTTAAAATTACTGTGTGAATATTGTAGGTACATACTAAATTTAGTAGTATAAAGTAAGACATAAATCAATGGTTTCTGTTAGTGATAAGATGTAATATTGGATGAGATAATGATGGAATTATTAATATGTTAAAAGCATAAGTTATATATATTTTCAGCAAATAAATACAAAAAGCAAATTCTTACTTAGTAATTATGCTCCCAACAGGGATCGAACCTGTGACCTTGGCGTTATTAGCACCACGCTCTAACCAACTGAGCTATGGGAGCCTATTTTCAATATATTTATACTGTTGGTATTTTAAAATTAGGTCCATAACAAAATACTCAAATACTACACTAATTCTTTTTTAACTATATTATTTTAATATTTTTATTTACTCTATAACCTTGAATTTTTTTACTATTATTTATATTATTCTATTTCAACAATAAATTTATATTTTTAATTTGTTTCCTATTACTGTGTATTTTAAATGTATTACTATTTTGCTATTAACTTTCGTTTATATAATTACTATTGCTATAGCCATATTCATACGATATATGTATTTAATATTATATTAATAAATATTTTGATATGCATATTACATAACAACTATTTAAAAATAATTCTTGTTAGTCTGAAATAATATATAGGAAATGATTTATAATTTATTAATAGTTAATCCTAATGAAAGCTAAAAACGCAATTAAAATATTATTAACGTTAATGATTTATGTTGAAAATTTGCAAACAATAACATCAGTAATTTGTGAGCATATTCAAGTATTATATTGTATACTAATCAGTTTATATTAACTTAAATTCCCCAAAAGTTGAGCCTCCGTGGCCTAGTGGTAAGGCGTCGCTCTCGTAAAGCGAAGATCTCCGGTTCAATCCCGGACGTGGGCATCTGGAAATCTTTTTTCTAATTTTTAATTAAGAATTTAATCATATGACAAGTTGTTATAACGGAAAAAAGTATGACTACTATTTATTGCAAGTTTTTAATAAGAAATATAGTTATTTTTCTTATATTGATAATATTTAAATAATCTATATATAAAAATAAAGATCTAACAATACTATCTAAATTAATCAAAAATTATGAGCGATATCAATTCATTATTAAAAACTCTTGATAACTATTCAAGCTGTGACGTAACTCTAAACATAATTCAAAAAAATATAAATTTAACTAATACTCATATTTTTAGGTTGGAGATGCTCTTCGTACTTTAGGCGTTAAAGGTGGTTACCTTCCAGGTTTAAAAGTTCGTACTTCTATAAAGAATCCTAAATTAATAGGCAGGGCTTATACTGTAGAAGTAAATTAAATAATATAATTTTACTATTTTATTAATTTTTTTAGTTAGTTGATGCAAAGGATAAAGAGAGTGAAGTTTATAAAAATGATTTACATTGGGTAAGTAATATTATATGTATATATTAGTTTTTATTAATTTTTTTAAGATGGACACAGTTGGAGAAGGTCAGGTTGTTGTTATTAAAGCCCCTTTAAGTAAGTACCATATTAAGCGTTGTTAAATTGTTTTTCTAATTTTTTATAGACCTTCCAAATGCCGTTTTCGGTGGTTTAATGGGCGCTAGAGCTGTAAACTTAGGAGCTTTAGGCGCTGTTATATCTGGTAATATTAGAGATACTAGAGAATTGGAAGAACTAGGGTTAAAAGTAATATATAACGAAACATGGCTAGCTGGCATAAAACTAACAAACTTTTTATAGGTATACTCTCATGGCACCAGCTCCCTAGGCGCTAAAAATTTCAGTCGACCAAGCAAAGTAAATCAAACTTTAGTCATCTCACCACCATCAGGGATTGAATATGAACCAACTGAAGTTAATCCTAACGACGTTGTAGTTGCTGATGAAGACGGCGTTTGTATAATCCCTTTCAATTTATTATCTCAAGTCTTAGATCAATGCGAAAAATCAACTCAAGTTGACGGTAAATGCTTAGCTGATATTCAAAGTGGTAAAAGTATTGCTGAAGCATTTGCAACTCACAGATAATACAATATTTTTATTTATTAATAAACTTAGCTTATTAATTCTTCTTAAACTTCTTAAATACATTAAACTCAAACCTACTACTATCCTCCCCAACATCCTCTTTAGATCTTACAATAAACGTTGTTGGTTTGTTTTTACTACTGACAAAACTAGGGTCCAACAAGTTCTTAGATCTATTGGCAGCATTAGGGTCTTTGGCAAGGTTTTCTAAATATTGCTGATATCTGGTATGAGATATACTGGTTCTGGTGTTTTGATGGCCATATAATTCGTTAAAGTTAGAGTTTGTTATGGTAGTGTTTTCAATATCAATTTCTTCTGTTAATTCAATATCTTCTTTACTAACAAATTTTATACTATCTTCTATTAAATAATCATCCAGTGTATTGGATCTTTGTTGTTTTAGAGAGGTTTGAGAATTCGTTACAGCAATATTAGGTAGTAGGGATTTTCTTATTGAGTCGAAATCGTCACCCAAATTAGAAGTCCTAACAGATATCTTACTCCTATGCTCTAATTCTTCTTCAATTGTTATGTTAGCAAATTGAGTATATTTCTGTTGTTGGGAGTTCTTTAAATAATGAGATGAATCTAATTCTTCTTCTTCCATTATAAAAGAATCTGCCTCGCTATTCATTTCATCTTTTTCGTCATCATTATCGGAATCTTCACTTCCCAAACTCTCAGACCCATCGTCCTCAGATCCTGATATTTCGTCTAATCCCGCTTTTTTAGCAAAAGCCATAAATTTCTCTTCCTCATCATCTTGAATCAACTTATTATGTAATTTCATAATAGCATCTGTATTATCCTCAATTTCCCTATTATCTATCATAACTCTATCCAATTGCCTCTGTTGTCTATCATTATCAGCATCAGAATCTTCATCATCAGAGTTTTTGGATTTTTCATCTTCGTCGAGTATTGCTTCACCAAATAACTTGCCTAATTTTTTCTTAGAAGATGACTTTTCTTCGTCACTGGATGATACGGAAGCTTCTTCATCGAGGAATGGGTTTAGTTCCTTCTTTTTCTTCTTCTTATTGGATTGTGTGTTATTTGATGCGGAGTGGTCTTCACCAGGTTGGCCGTTGATGTAACTAATTAAACCTCCAATATCTTCAACATTTTCCACAACTACCGCTGTATCCCCATTCACGTTACCGTTACTTTCAGACTTTTCAGATTTATTATCACCCTCATCATCGCTAATTTCCATATCAAAATCTTCCTCCTCATCATCTCCAGAATAATCAATCTCATCATAATCCTCCTCCTTCAGAGCACTCTCCTTCATTTGATTCATTAAACTCTTATTCAATTCTTTCAAACTTTTAGGTTTTTGTGGCGTTGTTTGCTTCTTTGTTATATTCATTTTTAAAGGAGAATTGGCAAATTCTTTTGTATTGGAGAATGAACGACGCTCAATTTCAAAGTTAATAGCCTCTAAAGGACTAGGGTTATCGATGATTTCGAGATCGAAGTCGTCATTGTTATGATCTATTATTTGCTGAGGTACTTTGAAGAACTTCTTTAGGGGTGTTATTTGGTGCTTTTTGGGTCTTTGGTTAGAAATATGTGAAGGTGAGTAATTAATGGTTTTTAATGGCCTTTCAGGTGTCTTGAGAGGTTGCTGGCGTTGAGGCAATTTTAAGGGTGAGTCAAAGTCATGAAGGTTTGATGAAGATATATGTGATACTTTTCCATTTCCGAATATATTTGTACTTTCTTTTTGATTAGAGGTCTCAGGTTCGTCAACTTCCATTGCTGTTGACTCTTCATTATTACCTTCGCCTTCTTTAGACCCTGCTACTTCATTAACTCTGACTAACTGCTCAGATTCAGCTTGTACATCACTGCTTTTAACAATATTACTTTTCACTTCCTGATTAAAATAACTTTTCAAAAAATTGGCTATTTTACTAGGCTTTTGCTCTAATTGTTCATCATTTAAAGGTTGTAGCTTAGGCAAAGGCTTTAATCTATCTAATTGATCTACTTGTAATTTAGCTTGAATTAAATCCTTTTTAGTTACAGGCTAAAAAAACAAAGTTTAATATAAATTTTTGGTATTAATGGGTGAATTTACCTTCTTTTTAGCCTCTTCTTGTTGATTTCTAAAATTTAATTGCTTTAAGAGTTCATCAACTTCATTTAATTCTTGATTTGCTTGAAGTTCCTAAAATTCGAGTTAGTATATACGACGAAAGGCTGATGTGGATTGAAATACTTTTAGTTGAGCACTTGATTTACCCAATAATTCATTAATAGAAGGCAAACCATCATTATCCTTATTTAGCAATGTTTCGTCCAAAGTTTTGTAACTTTTTAATACTGGTGCAACTGCGAAAGTGTCTTGAGAAGGTGCAGTAAAAACAGGTTCACTCTATGATTAACACACATTAATCAAATTAAATATAATGTAATCTAGTTTCATGTTTTACCTCTATGGGTGTAGGATCAAGGAAAGATTTTAATAATTCAGTAGGGTCTTTTCCAGCTGGTTGAATATCAAAATCATCCAAGTTCATGTCATTATTCTCCTCCTCTTCATCTTCTTCTATAATATCGGTTTCTGTTGGAGCTCCAATTGATTTTGCTCTGGATTTAGTAGACTTGAAGTCATCGTTGTCGCCTAAATCAGCCTTTCAAAAAAATTTAAATTAGATAAAAAATAAGCTGTTAGTATTTAAACTTACCCAAACGTTGCGTTCTTTCTCCCACATACTTTCGCCTTCTGGAGCTTCTTGTCCGCTAACACTAACCTGCTTCCTAGGTCTCATACGCTTTATCATGCGTTTGCCTTTTTTGGAAGTACCTGTAGCAGTTGTGGAGGGTGCACTGAACCAACTCTCCGTAACGGAAGAGGTTTCTGACTGGAGGAAATCTGGCTCGTAGTTATTTGGATTCATTTTAAATATTTGTTAGAATATGAAAATTAGTATTGTGCAAATTATTTAAATTTATAATTAAATTTAGATGTAACAGTATTTTTTGCTCTGTGTATTATTATACACTATATATAGTATTCAACTTTAGTTTATATTATATAAAAATTTTTATAAGTTATATCAGTTAATAATTTGAATATTTTTGTATTTTGCTGATTATTAGTTAAAGTTTAAAGAATCATTAACCCTAAAAAACTTCCCAAACTTATTTAACTAAACTTTTAAAATTAATTCGCGTAATTTTATTGGTCCCCTCAATAACACGAATTCTATGAATTATTTTCACGTTAATTTTTATTGGTTGATGAAGAAAAGTTGAAAAATTGAATTTGGTATTTGATTGGTTAATTTTATATAGATAGAATTTTGAAAATTGAGAGCAAAATTGGTGTTTTGGTGTTTTTATAAATTATAGATTTTTATTGGATATAGATTTGGGTGAAAGTTAGTTGACAATTTTTATCAATTTAATGATGCAAGTAATAAAAGCGCATTATTATTATTATTATTATTATATGTATAATAATGAGTAATAGATAACAATATTAAATAGCATATACTAAATGCTATCGATCAATATCAACTTATAAAAACGTTAGATTAAAATAGAAATATATATAGAATTAACTCGTATTAACCTTACTTGGTGAAATATCTCACCTTTATATTAAAATCATCGATCTCAGCACTATGAACAATTCCAGTCAATTAACCATCCTTTCCAAATAATAATCTAAAAATTTTTAATCGATCTAAAATTTTACTCAAAATGCTAGATTTGATCGATTGAACATATACTTATGATGACCTAATAAGCTTTGAATTTGAGTATAAATACACTTGAAGAGTATACTTTTCTATATGACTTAAAAATATAAATAAGAATAAGAAAAATAAAAAATGAAAAAATTATTATTTTTGTTTGG